GAGTTGGCGCATGCTAGACCCTTCTCTCATGCGCATTCACATTGCTCGGGAGGTTGATTTTCTTGAGAATGTGATGTGGAAGGATTGGGAGAAGGTCAAGGGCTTTGGGGAGCTTCTGCAGGATGCTGCTAGGATTTTCCAACTCCTCCCCCTTCCACTCTCGCTACCTTCAGCAGCAGTTGATGGCGCTGATATATTACCTTCATCACCACCACCGACACGGCTGAGTGTGTCCGTGCAGCAGCAGCCCACCCCTCTACAGCAGCTCAGCGGCCCGTCGACCATTCAGCGGATATCCGCTACCCAGGCTTCTTACCCTTCCTCCTCCGTGGGCCAGCGCCTTGTCACTCTCTTTACAAGTGCACCTACATCACCAGCGACTACCTCCCTACCACGGGTTATGGGTTTGCATGTGCTTGGTATCTCGTCTGGTACAGAGGTGGTGAGGTGGTAGGGGGGGATGCTGGTGTGGTTGAGGGTACGATGTGCTTGGCTAGGGAGGTGGAGGGAGTTGCGCTAGCATGTGTGAGCACCGATGATGTTACACGTACGCTCGATGAGGCACTGCGTGGCCCTGAGGGCCCTAAAGACAGGCGACGAGAAGGAGGTGAATGTCATGCCCACTATGGGTGTAAGGGATCCAGAGCCGGTTGACTTACCTCCAGGTAAGAAAGTTATCAGGGTCAAGTACGTTTTCCGCAGGAAAACTGACCAGGAGGATAACGTGGTGCAGCACAAGGTTCGCCTTGTTGCTCAGGGGTTCACTCAGGAGCCTGAGAAGGATTATGATCAGGTATTTGCCCCTGTGGGCAAGCTCACCTCAGGTTGGGTCAGGGTCCTCGCTAGGATTCTAGGGCACCTGATGTGTCAGACGGGCCCTTCGGGCCCCTCTGATACATCAGAAATTTTGAAATCCCTTGTCTGGTGGATCAGATATTTCAAACAAACGTGTTTGACCCATGGAATTCTAATTTCTAGTTTCTGGTTGCACGTGGGACGGAAACCAGAATCTCACTTGACTTAACAGCCGACTTGCCCCGTCACAGCAAATTTGACCTGACACGATGGAAATTCGACCAGTCACAGCAGGGAATCGATCTTGACAGCATATTCTGGCGGAAATCATGCTCTACTAGCATGTTTCGATTTCAGACAAATCACAAACTGTATTCTGATGAATCATATGAAAACATAAAATTGTTTTTGACCAATCAGATGAAAAAAAGTAATTCATTTCTGGAAAATCAGATTAACTAAAAATAATCTGTCTGGAAACTAAAAAAAAAAAACGGACAAAAATGTCTGATGGCGAGGACCCTGGGTCGGGTGCTTCTTGTAGAAGCCGCGGTAAAAGGGTGGCATGTACAACAGGAGGATGCTAATCATGCGTACCTCAATGCAATCCTTCAGGAAGAGGTGTATGTGAGGCAGCCTGGGGGATTTGATGATGGTACAGATAGAGTGTATCGCCTGCGCAAAGCTCTCTATGGGCTCCAGCAAGCGCCTCGTGCCTAGAATGAGGTGATGGGTGCTACCCTGATTGCAGCAGGGTTTCACCGCAGTGCATGCGATGAGGCTCTATACATCAGGTTTGTGGATGGAGAGCCTGTGTATATATTGGTGTATGTGGATGACCTCTTGCTTGTGTCTCCACGCTTGGAGCTGATCGGTCAGGTCAAGGAGGTGCTTGCTCAGAGGTACCAGATGAAGGATCAGGGTGAGGTATCCACGTGCCTTGGTGTGGAGGTTCGCAGGTCGATCGAGGATGGGTGCTTGGCCAGGAGAAGTATGTCCGTGGTCTTTCGGTCAGGTTTGGTAATCTGTTGAGGGAGACACATATAGTGCATACTCTCATGAAACCAAATGATCTCTCTAAGATCAGGAAAGGTACTTGGTCGAGTGAGGAAGGTGCTGTAGCTGATGTCAAGGTGTACCAGAGTCTTATTGACAGCTTGATGTATGCTGCTATGACAATCCGCCCTGACATGTCCTTCACTGTCAACACCTGTGTACAGTCATGCATGGCACCAAGGTGTCAGAATCCCAGCCACTAACCACTGGGATAAAAGAGCTTGTTTGTGTAGCGGGTGAGTGCGCCCATAACCCCCCAGGCCAACGTGCATGTAACCCTTCCCTAGGATCAATCGAGGATCTCCAGTGGACCTTTGACACCCCCCCGCACTGGGATGCCCGAGGTGCACACACTGGGATTCGAACTCGAGACCTTCGCTCTGATACCATGTCAGAATCCCAACCACTAACCACTGGGATAAAAGGGCTTATTTGTGTAGCGGGTGAGTGCGCCCATAACCCCTCAGGCAGGCCAACATGCTTTTAACCCTTCCCTAGGACCAATCGGGGATCACCAGTGAACCTCTGACACCCCCCGCACTGGGATGCCCGAGGTGCACATATTGGGATTTGAACCCGATACCTTCGCTCTGAAACCATGTCAGAATCCCAGCCACTAACCATTGACTGGGGTAAAAGGGCTTGTGAGTGTAGTGGGTGAGTGCGCCCATAACCCCCCAGGCCAACGTGCCAAAAACCCTTCCCTAGGATCAATCCGGGATTTTCAGTGGATTTTTTACACAAGGCACATTCACATGCGTGCTGCACCGAGAGCACTCAGGTACTTGGTCCAAACAGCTGACCATATCATCAGGTATGCTCGCCAAGGTGGTGAGCAAGTTGTGGGGTACACTGACTCAGATTGTGGTGGTGAGGCTGACGGCAAGAGTCGTTCAGCCTACACCTTCAAGGAGCCATCAGCTGGTATAGCAAAAGTCAAGACAGTGTTGCATGCAGCATTACTGAAGTTGAGTATAAGGCCCTTTAAGAGGGGGCCAAGGAGGCCATTTGGTTGAGGAGCTTGTTGGTTGAGATTAATTTGGGGGATGGGGGGGTATTCCATTGTTATGTAAAAATGAGGCTACTAGGTTCCCCGGTAAAGGTGGCTCTTATATCCGAATGAGGCAGGGCTGATTTTATCAGGGTAATTACCCTGATTTCAGGGTGATTACAGGCTTGTCACCTCGTGGTCCCTGCAATTTCAGAATTTGTGACTTGTGAACTCTGATCCATTCAGATTAGTGCTTTAGCGAACCCTGAAATCTTGTATCCAGGCTCAGAGTAGTGTTCTTACTGACTCTGTCAATGTAGAGTACGCGTCCTGTGGACCCTGAATGCGAGGGTATCGGGACGAAGGTTCCTGGAAACTTCGTCCCGATAACCCCCTATGTGCGTAATCATGACTTCACTTGCACCCATATGAGGGACCCGTTTCACGCGCAGGACTGGCGTAATACCGACAACTAACCCAACACCACGCTGTACAGCGCCGCTGTACAGCACAGCTGTCAACTCTGACAGCGCAACCAGACAATGATGGTTTGCTGCCACGCGCACCGCACAATGCACATCATGCCTCTATCATTGGCCAGAGACTTCGTCCGTTCATTTTCGCACTTTCTCTCGCACCACCTCTCTTCTCTTCTGTCTCGCCGCCATAGAAGGTCTGCCAGCCGACGATGCTACTCCTCAGGCTGGCCCAGATGAGCCACCTTTACCGGCGAACCCCACGTAGCCTACCCTGCCGGAGAAAGCTCCAGACGCCCCCCGCTCTGGGTCTACCGTTCATGACTCTGCAGTTAGAGTAACCGCCACTCCGTCTGACTCTCCCCGTCCCGCCGCATTCACTCTACCCCCGGCTGTTGCTTCTTGCAGTAAAGATCCCCCACCGCCAAGCGAGCGCGATCTGGGAAGTGGTCCCAGAGTACCCTGGTCGTCGGAGGTCGACGTATTCCACCGGCTGACAAGCCGGCCGATCCACCACCTGATGTCGCTGAGATCCCAGAGGAAGGTGATATCCCTGTCCGCGTGGACACCGGCTCGCCCGCACTCACCAAGATGCAGCCGAGAGAGCAGATGTACCTTGAGGCGAGTATCAACTACGAGACGAAGTGGTCGGGCATGTTTCCGTGGCTGGTGTTTGGGAAAACCAAGGATGGATTTCCCTATGTGATGTGCAGCATCTGCATGTCGTACGGTAAAGAGAACACGAATTACGCCAGGCAAGGTGATGACGGTGGCCGAGACTTGCAGACGCAGTCGTTCAGGGCGCATGAGCACACGGACGCTCACACGGCGGCGGTGGACCAGCAGATGAAGATTACGCAGGGCATCCGTGAGGGGCAGCAGGTGATTTCAAACTTGATCAACTCTGACATCGAGGGGAGGCGCGCTACTCGACTCATGCGGTCGGTTCAGTTTCTGTGCCAGTGCGACGCGCCGATCAGCATGTTTCCGAAGTTGATGAGGCATCTTGCGGAGCAGGACATGCCCGACATTCCGCGGCAATCCTACAGGGTCTATTTGACACGGTACGTCGATGTGTCTGTGAGTTGCTTTGTTTCTTTTGTTGCGTTTAAAGGTTTGGTTAAACTGTTACTTACCATTTCACACACACATGTGCAGGTACGGCTTTCAGCAGATGGTTCACAGCATTAGTACCTACCTCACACGGGTGCAGATGGACCACAACCAATCTTCCCCCTTCCTGGGCATCAGCTGCAAAGAGAGCACCGACCGAACGCGAGGAAAACACATGATTGTTTACCTGGCGTTTTGAAGAATCGCCAAGTCGCATGCGAATTCTTTACCTTGCTGGCGGTTGAGAGGTGTGATGCAGGGTCTCTGTTCGAGGTGCTGCTGAACCACCTCCGCTCCGCAGCCGTGGATGTGTCCAAGATCGTTGGCATCAGCACGGACGGGGCTTCGGTCATGACGGGGAAGGATAACGGATTGGTGGCGCTTCTTCGGGAACACGTCCCGCACCTTTTTTCCTGTCACTGCATCGCACACCGGTGTGTTTGCAAGTTGTTTTACGTGCACATGTGCGTGTGTTAAGTTTTAATCACACCTGTTGAATTGTGTCCCCTTCGTCCTACAGAGAGGCTCTGGCTGTAAAGGATGCTGCTGAGTCAAATCCGGACAATGAAATGGTCGACAAGGTGGTGCGCACTGTGGCGGCGCTGCTTGGAAACTCAAGTGTCTAGAGTCAACGCTTCAAGAACCTGCAACGAGTGATATACAACACGAACCTTGAAATCCAGGGGATCCACACGGTTCGGTGGCTGTCACGAGGGGATGCGGTTCGCCGTCTATGCAAGGTCCTCGGCGCTTGCATCGTGCTGCTCTGGGAGCACAACCACAAGGCCTACGAGATTGTGACGTGCTACAAGTTCCAATTCTGCCTGTTCTTCCTCGCGGACATCCTCGCCGACATGAACGACCTCAACCGTTGCTTCCAGAGGCGTGAGGTGAGTTTTTTTTATCACTGTGCGATGGCCTGTGATTGTCAATAGAATCTTGTACCGTTGCTAACCGTAAATCCTGTTCTCAATGTCTGCACTGTAACAACTGGATGTGACAGAGATTGTGAAGACCGTTGAGTCCACCACGGGTGATCTGACGGAGCGGTACTTGACGACCGACAGGCCGTTCGGAGGAGAGGGCAAAAGCTGCCTGGTCAACTTTCTCAAGCTCCACAAGGAGGGTGGAGGCAAGCAGGTCCGGGTGCGAGGCGTGGACGGGGAGGGACGCCCAATCAACCACCTCTACACCATGCACGAGAGGAAGTTCAAGGGGCACAAGCAGGGAAGCACATACGCCGATTGCGTGAAGCTGTGCCACAGATTCGCCCGGGATTGCGTAGACAGCCTCAACGACCATCTGGATGACCTGGGGAAGCTGGGGCCGACGAAGCTGTTCCGGGCGGATAAGTGGCCGAAGATCAAGGCGCAGCAAGAGAAGAAGTGCCGTGAGTGGCTGCAGGGATGCAGCAAGCTTTTCCGCAACAAGCTTACAGGTTTCGACATCAAGGCAGCAGAGAGGGAGCTCCTGACATTCTGTGCGATCATGGAGATACACCACGAGCTGGAGAGCTTTTCGCAGGGGCTGTCCAACTTTCTCGGGAGTGCAGACTCCAAGAGGTAGCGCTCTCCTCGCGCCAATGCTGTTTCCGAGTATTAGTTCGCATGATTAACGTTTGTTCTCATTGTGTGCTTGCATGTGCCTGGCAGGAGATGGCCGAACCTCCTCCTCCTGTGGCAGGCGCTAGCTGTGCTCCCACTCTCAACCGTGGAGTGCGGAGGGGTTTCTCCAGGCAAACTGTCATCAATTCTTAGGTGCGAGGAGCGCTCTGCAATGCGCGACTGGGCGAGCTGATGCAGATCTCGCTCCTGAAGTATGAGATCAACTGGCCGGAAGCACTGGAGGTCTGGAGGTCCATGCGGAGGAGGCGCCCTGCGAAGAGCTTGAAGCTGGCTGTGGCAGAGAGGGAGAGGAAGGGGAAGCAGAAGGAGGGTGATGACGTGGCTGCCGGAACTGCTGGGGAGAACGAGGATGAGGGGGAGGGGGAGGAGGAGGAGGAGGAGGAGGAGGAGGAGGAGGAGGAGGAGGAGGAGGAGGAGGAGGAGGAGGAGGAGGAGGAGGAGGAGGAGGATAAAGTGGAACAGGACCTGGCCGACGATCAGGAGCTCGTGGGGGAGGAGGAAGAGGAGGACAGCCCCTTCCTGTCAGACAATGAGGACATGGAGGAGGTGTACCACACTGACAAGCCCGTGCACTAGATAGTGTAGGAAAGTTGTAAAGACATTCGAAAGTGTAGTGCAAATTTTAAAGCAACCTTGATCTCATGCTATGAACCCTGACGACTCAGAGTAGGACTCTGTTGGACACTGTGCTATCATACGAAATGTACCTCCATAATACGAGGGGGGAATTTTTCCCCGGAATCAGGGAGGCCCATGTTAGAATATATATTTATATATATTTATGTACCTGCCTGTAGCTGTAGCTTTAGTGTAGTTATAAACTCTTTGTATTGGTGGTGCACCTCCTTTGTCTCCTATTTGTACCCTCGAGCCTATAGTGAACCCCCCTTCTTTCTCGACATTCCACTCTCTCGCCACTCTCCTAGGTTCCTAACCTAGCCTAGCTTCTTGACATGGTACAGAGCAATAATCGGTCCTAAGGACCTATTTTTTTTTTTAGGATCATGGGTCCCGCGTTTCGCTCTCTGCAGGCCCCACTCGATTCGCGCTCCGAAGGCATACTCGTCGCGCCCCGTGCGCCCTCCTTCCCGTCGCCCGCGGCCCCCCGTTTCGTCGCCCCGCGGCCCCCCCGTTACCGTCGCCCGCGGCCCCCCGTTTCGTCGCCCCACGGCCCCCCGTTCCCATCACCCGCGGCCCCCCGTTCCCGTCGCCCGCGGCCCCCCGTTCCCGTCGCCCGCGGCCCCCCCGTTTCGTCACCCCGCGGCCCCCCGTTCCCGTCGCCCGCGGCCCCCCGTTTCGTCGCCCCGCGGCCCCCCGTTCCCGTCGCCCGCGGCCCCCGTTCCCGTCGCCCGCGGCCCCCCGTTTCGTCGCCAGCGCGGCCCGCCAGCGCGGACGCCAGCGCCGTGGCCAGCCGCCTGCGCCACAGTCAGCGCTAGCAGCAGCTACCGCCGCCCCGCCCCCCCCCCCGCCCTCCCTTCCGCGGCTTCCGTCGTGGGGGGGGGGGGGAGAAGGAGATGTGGGGGTGGCGGGTGTGAGCTGCCTGCAGCTCGTCCCTCCCCCACTCTCCTTCCCTCTTACTCTCTCCCTGCAGCACTTGTTGCTGTCGGGGAGAGGGGGGGGGGGGGGGGGGGGGGGGGAGGAGATGCTAAGGGAGGGTAAGAGAGAGTGGTGGAACCAGTAGCCACGCATCTGCAGCTGCCGTCCACTGCTATGTGGCACCTACTTCTGCAGCCCCTGACGCTTCTCTCTCTTCGTTCGTCTTCTTTGCTGTTGAGCTGCAAACTAAGCGCGCCACAGCACATCGTCTTCGTTCGTCTTCTTTGCTGTTGAGCTGCAAACTAAGCGCGCCACAGCACATCGTCTTCGTTCTCTCTTTCTTGCCTCAGGGCTTGCTGCAGCTGTCTCTGCCACCACTGCACTGGTTGTCATTGCACTTGCCTCCTGTTCGTGGTGTACCCATCCAGGAGTTGTTGCTGCACAAGCTCCTGCTGCAGGCAGTTATGGGGGAGTGTTAGAATATATATTTATATATATTTATGTACCTGCCTGTAGCTGTAGCTTTAGTGTAGTTATAAACTCTTTGTATTGGTGGTGCACCTCCTTTGTCTCCTATTTGTACCCTCGAGCCTATAGTGAACCCCCCTTCTTTCTCGACATTCCACTCTCTCGCCACTCTCCTAGGTTCCTAACCTAGCCTAGCTTCTTGACAGCCCAAAACGAAACGTCAGCCCTGGTTTACAGTATATGCAATATAGTTTGACAAAAATTTTCCCCTAACACTGATTCACACACTACTTTGGGCAGGACACACTGATCCATCAGCATACCCTGAAACCAATCTGAGGGCCTGGTGGTAGCTTAATATGCTAACAATGCATTGTGATTTAATGTAACATTCGTTGTGTTGTAATCCAAATTGCATTCGAAATTCAATTAGCGTGTATTTAGCATTATGGACATTCAATGAAGCTTTTGATTGTTTGTACCAGTACTCGTCGGTTTTATGAGGACATCCATGCATTCAACACTAGATGCTGGCTGTTGAATTGGATATTGTAGTGAAATAAACGTTTCTATAAATGTAGCCTTTATGTGATCTTGTCCGAGTCGCTAGCATATTGGAATGTGACACATTCCCAATGTCCTTCAACTGAGTTCAAAGGTCCTGGAGTCGCGTTCTTCCTGAACGACCAATCGTGCAGCCCCCAGTTTCGCACGGCTTGTGTTATCGTCGTCAAGCCTCGCCGCATAGTCAGCTGCAAGCCTTTCCGTGGATAAGCTGATAGGGAAGCTGCTGCGTCCCACGACGATGGGCGACGCATTGACGACATTCAGTGGAGCAGCCCAACTTCAGAGTCGGCCAAATGCACCCTGTGTCGCATGGCCTTCTAGCCGACTTTCGTCGTTCTGCGACGATTGCGAGCACGGATGTGGATCTCGAGGGCGCGCGTCGGAGTATTCGAGGTTGCAGGTACAGTAGCGTCTAGCAAATGGAGCGTCAAATTTCCAAACCGCTCCACTGCACACTACTTCAGCGTTTGCCTTGGTTTCTTCACCCCATCTTTTCTCTTAGGCTCTTGCACATGAAAGCTGTCATCCTGTCACGAGCGCCCAAGTCGAGGAGCGTCATCTTCGAAGAACACATCGGTGATAAGCTCGAATCTCGCAATAGCTCGGTCCGCGCGGGTCGCCATGCATATACTTAGGTCGGGTAGTGTGAGAGATACCAAGTGCTGATGGCGCCAACCCACTCTCGAGCTCGCGTCTCTCCATGGCTTTGCCAGCTCACGGACTACCGCTCCTCCTATGCGCGTTGCTCGCCACTTCAGCAGCGGCCATAGAATTCAGTTCCTCCCTTTTCTCGGAAAAAAACATACCAGATAAAGCGGATATCGCAGCGTCGAATTCGCAGAACCAGGACCACCGAAACCAGTTGTACATACCTGAACATCTTTCCGGCCCTCTCGAAAGAGGGCATCTCCAGCCCTTAGCTTTCCCTTTGACGCACAAATTCAAATCTGGAGCACATAATGGGAAGGCGCGCGGCGGGCCCGTTACCGTGCGCTGGGAGGCGCACATGGCGGCCGTGCAGCGCGACTTGCGGCGTGTTCGACGCGGGAACAGGCGGCTCCAGAGCGGAGAAGACGACGAGGAGGTCGTTTTCGGACTCGTCGGCAACGCGGACCCGCAGATAGCAGGGTGAGCGCGGCGAAAAAATCTACTCTGGGTCACATTCTGACTCCTCCGCATCCTCCCTTTTCTAGCCCCCTCCTCTCCAGCCGGTAATTTGCGGTGGCATTGGCCTCGCCGCCGCAACTGTTCAACGTGCAGGCGGATCCGGGCCGCGATCTGCTCTAGTTCCGTTCTCGGGCGACTAAAACGTTCCCCCCTCCCCTTCCCCTCCTGTAAACCCCCCATGGCCCCTTCCCCCTCCTCCCGGGCTGTACTTCGCGTCGGTGGCTTTGGGCTCCCGGGCTGTACTTCGCGATCTGCGATGGGTCGGGTTCTGAGGCGACTAAAGGACTAATTTTCTCCCCTCCTCCCCTTTTCCTCCTCTCCCCACTCCCTGCTCGCCTTCCTCCTCTCCCCCAGCCTGTACTTCGCGTCGGTGGCGTTGGGGTCGCCGCCGCAGTTGTTCAACGTGCAGGTAGACACGGGCAGCGACCTGCTGTGGGTCGCGTGCCAGCCGTGCCTCAAGTGCGCCACGCGCTCGCAAGTCGCGGTGAGAATCGCACGCGTATTGTAGGTTACGCGTAAAACTGGAAAAAGCATCGGCCAGAACAATCGGCACTCAGTCCATTCCCCTTTTCCGTCTTCAGATGTCTCAAACCTGGTCGCGACCCATTTCCCCCTCACCCTCTCATCCCATTTCGAGCCGAATTTCGATTACGTGTCCCTTTGTCATGCTTCTCGAAAGTCATCGCTGAATGGTTATGGAAGCCACTGCGCGCCTTCATCGTCGAATCAAATTACTCGTGTAATCAAATCACTCGTGGAATCAAATCACACGTACACACGCTTGTTCCTCAGAACCCCCCTCTCCCTTTTTCATTCTTACTAACCCCTCCCTCCCCTTCAACGTCCCCTCTCCTCTTTGCTTCCGCCTCTCCGCACCGCCCCGCTCCCCCAGCCGTTGAACCCGCCGTTCAACGCGTCGCAGTCCTCCTCCAATCACCTCCTCCCGTGCGCGACGCGCGACTGTCCGCGCTACCACCTCTCCGACAACGTCCTGCGTGGCTGCCCGTCGCCGGCCGTCGCGGCGGCGGCCGCCGTGCCGGCCGCCACGTGTCTGTACATGCTGCGCTACGCGGACGGCAGCGCGTCCGTGGGCGTGCTCATGCGCGACGTGCTGCACTTGCCGTGGACCCCCAGCGAGCAACCCGTGCCAAGGGGGGAGGGAGGAGTGGCTGGGGTGGCGAGGAGGACGAGTGGTAACCAGTTACCTGGCGAGAGCGGCGAGAGTGGTAACACCAGCGAGCTCAACATCGTGGAGCCGCGGAGGATTGGCCAGGAAGTGGTGGCTCAACGCGCGGCCCCGTCGAGCAGTAGCGGCGGGGCTGCTAATAACGGGGATGAAGCGCAGGGAAGCAGCGTGCCTGCTAATAGCGGAGCTGAAACTCAGGGAAGCAGTGCGAACGCGTCATCAAGCGGCACCAAGTACCGGCCGGTCGTGACGTTTGGGTGCGGTTTCAACCAGTCCGGCAACCTTTTGGACGGCCCGCTGACAGTGGACGGCGTGATGGGGCTGGGCCGCGGCGCGTCGTCGCTGCTGGCGCAGCTCGGCGCGCAGCACGCGCTGCCGCACGCGTTCGCGCACTGCCTGGGCGGGCCGGAGGGCGGCGGCGCGCTGTTTCTCGGGCGCGTGTCGTCCGTGGGCGCACTGAGTGGCGTGCGTGGCGTGTGGCAGCAGACGGCGCTATGGGACAAACCCGACAGGTATGCTCCTCGCGCTGACGGCCGTGCGGGCCGTGCGGGCCGTGAGGTGGGTGGGGAACTGGGGGCCGTGCGTGGCGTGCGGGGCGTGCGGGGCGTGGGAGGGGTGAGGGGGTAGGGGAGGTGGGGGGCGTGCACGGCGTGTGGCAGCAGACAGAGCCGCGGGACGAACCCGACAGGCGGGCAGGCTCGCGCTCTTGCTCTCTCGCCCTCACTCTCTCCCACTCACTTCCTCTCCCACACTTCCCACACTCTCTTTCCCTCCCTCTCTCCCCCTCTCTCTCCTCGTAAAGGACACCTCCACCATGCCACCCCACTCGTCCACCATGCCACCCCACTCGTCCACCATGCCACCCCACTCGTCCACCATGCCACCCCACTCATCCCTGCCAGTCGTGCACGACCCTGTCCCCATCTCCACCCGTGTCGCCACCTCTCCATCCTTCCGTCCCCTGTCCTGGAAAACAATTTACCCCCGCTGCTCCTCTCTCCTCCCTCCCCACCCCACACCTCCCTCACCCGCACCCCACCCGCGCACGGCAGCACGCAGTACATGATCGGCCTGGCAGGCATCGCCGTTGCTGGGGTCCCCATCGCCTGGCAACCCGCCGTCACCACTTCCACCCCTGCTGCTGCTGCTGCCAGAGATGCTGAAGCCGCCGCCGCTGCTGCTGCTCCTGCTGCTGCTCCTCGCCCAAACCAGCTCCTCGCTTGCTGCGCCAGCAGGCAACACCACAGGCTCGGCATCGCCAGGTTTGGCATCCGCAGGCTCGGCAGGGCTGGTGCCGTGCGTATTGGACAGTGGCACGTCACTCACATACCTGCCGGACCCACTCTACCAGACCCTCACTGCTGCTGTGAGTGCCGCGGCCCTTGCTCCCTTGCGGCCCCCACTTGCCTCCCTGTGCAGGCTCTGCGCAGGCACAGAGAGTGTGACAGACGTGCGCCGTGTTTCAATGCCCCGTGATTTTGCGAATCCTCAGAATGACATCCGTGCATCACTGCACTGCCACCCCTCCCTCTGTGTACACATCGCGTGTTCTCTCGCATGCATGCCCCACCAATGCCTTCCCCACTCACATATAGCCTTCCACCTACCCCCTTGGTCCTGTGTCCCATTCACCCTTCCCCCTGTCTCCTTCCCCCGCTCCCATTCCCCCTGCCCCCTGCCCCCTGCCCCCTGCCCCCTGCCCCCTGCCCCCTGCCCCCTGCCCCATGCCTCCTTTCCCCCGCCCTTCCTCAACCGCCAGCTGGTGCAAGCCATTGACTTGCCGCTACTCGCCTTCGCCCAGACGGAGGGCCACTTCTGCTACAACCTGGGGGACGGCAGGTGCGCTACAGCCCTCTCGCCACAGCCCCCTCCGCCACACTCGCGCCCTTCCCACTCTTCCCCCCTTCCCACCCCCCAATCTCCCCCTTGCTGTCTATGCACGTCTCACGTCTGCCACCCTGCGCCATTGTGCTGCGCCCACCGCTGTGCCTTCCCCTCAGCCTCTCCTCCCGCCCTTCTCCCTCCGCGCAGGCTCCCCTGGCCCCGCGCCCGCTATCTCTTCCCGGACCTGACTCTCACGTTCGGCACCGGGGCCCGCATGGTGCTGCCGCCTGAAAACTACATTCTGCTGCTCGCCACCACTGCTGTACGCTCGGGACTGGGTGGGGTGCGGTGGGGTGGGATGGGATGCCCATTGCACCATTGGTAATATGCCATCCATGCCATGTACTGCCATGCCTGCTCGCTCTCCCCCATCCTCTCCCACATGGCCCAGGTATGCATGAGGCTTTTAAGACGTCTCAAAACTCTCCCACATGGCCCAGGCATGCATGAGGCTTTTGAGACGTCTCAAAACTCTCCCACATGGCCCAAGCATGCATGAGGCTTTTGAGACGTCTCAAAACTCTCCCACATGGCCCAGGCATGCATGAGGCTTTTGAGACGTCTCAAAACTCTCCCACATGGCCCAGGCATGCATGAGGCACCTCCATCCTCCCGCCACCCTCCCATCTCCACTCCTTCAACCTTCGCTCCTAGTCAATCCCTCCCCTCAACCCCGCTCTTTCCTCCTGTTCTGCAGCACTTCGAAGTACACTCCAAGAAGCCCCGCCATCGCCTTCCGCCTGTCCATTCTCCTCCTTATCAACCTCTCTCACTCCCCTACCCCCCCTTCCCTTCCTCAGGGCTTCGAGGTGCTGTGCATTGCGTGGCAGAGTGCTGTCCTCAACTCCTCACTCGCCCTTCCGCCAACTCATTCCCCTCGAACCCGCCCATTCTCCTCCTGTCAACCCTTCACCACCTTCCCCCCTGCTACCCCTCCCCTCCCCCCCCCCCAGGGCTTCGAGGTGCCGTGCATTGCGTGGCAGAGCGCTGGACCCGACTCTTCCCTTGCTGTGCTGGGCGGTGAGTGGAACCAAGGGGGGAAGGGATGGGGGTGGAGGGGAAGCGGGCGGGGAGACAGGAGAGGGGGAGGGTGGGAGGAGGGGTGGGGTGGGAGGAGAGGAGAAAAAGGATGGTAGCGGAGGGGGGAGGTGAGGAAGGAGAGATGAGAGGCGAGTGGGTGGAGAGGGATGGGATGGATGAGAGGTGAATGTGAGGGGCAGGCGATGACAGGAGAGGTGGGAGATGAGGGGAGGGGAGCAAAAGATTAAGTAGAGAAAATGGTTAGAATTCTTCCATACTAAATGGTCTGTTCTGTTTCTGTTTCTATTTCTGTTTCTGTTGTATTATTCAACTGTACTGCACTATTCCGCATGAATTCATCTGGCAAATGCTTGGTGAAGGAGATCCTAGGTGACACCAACTTCACCCCAAACTCTCACCAGCTTCACCCTTATTTAATTGCTCCCCGGTCTGCGTCCCCCCCAGACTTAGCGCTGCGCAATCTGCTGGTGGAGTTTGACGTGGAGGCCAACACAGTGCGCTGGCTGCCCTCCCAGTGTGAGCTCCCCTCTCCCACCCTCCCTCCCCACCTCATCCTCCAATCGCGCCTCACTCGTTTTAAAATCGCCCCACATTACGGTATCGTGATTTTTACACTCGGGTTTCAGGCTGTGCCACCATGCCAACACAGCACACCTTCTGCACCGCACGCCTCGTCCTTCCAACCGCATTGTCCAAGCTAAGCACTGTGCCGTCCCCTCCCCCATCTCCTGCCATGCCACAGGTTCCCAGATTCTGCACTCAGCAGCACAGACCACAGATCCCATTGATGCTGCTGCTGCCGCAGCAGACACAGCAGCAACTGCTGCAGAGGCTTTCCCAGAGAGCTCTGATTGGCTCGCCTCCCTCATTCCAGGGCTGGCTGGTAGCGCAGCCAACCCGAACCAAGGAGGCCCGTTACCGGACCTGAACACCCCAGGCGCCAATCTTCCTTCGCAAAACCCAGCACAAAGTGGAGGTTCGAATGGCGTAAACCCCTCTTTGAATCCTGCCGCGAACGGTTTGTCAGGTAATGACCCAAATGGCAGTGGTGGCCCGTTGAACTTGGTGGATGGTGGTTCCGGTGCGAGTGGCAGGGCACCGAGTGTGCTTCCTTACAATGCTGCCTCGTTCATGGGTCGCGAAGGGGTTGTGGCTGTGTTGGTGCGTCTGCTGCTGGCAGTCGCTTGTGTCGTCTTGCTTGCCCCTTGACGACCTATCAATAAGGTTCTGCCTCATGCTATTGGTGGCAGTGAAATTTTCTGTGAACAAAAGCGAAGTTTTGCCTCGTGTTTCATGAGGTTGTATGAACAAAGAATGACACGTGATCACAGATGAAACATGAAAAGATGAGGTCATATGTGACCATAGAATGAAACATAACACGCCTAAAGATTCGATCAACCTGTAACAAAACACGGGGTCAGGGGGATGGGCTGACGACGATTCGAATCGACGATCCGGTTGGTTGCGATGAAACTCATGAAGTCGAGCACGCTCATCATTCGCACAGATCTGACGGTCCTCTTCAGCGTACCGAAGTGCGGCCGAAAAGCGAACGCCATCCGATGATTCGAGATGAGCACGCCTCTGACACACTGGCGGAGGGCGGAGTATGAGGAATCAATGGCTGTCCTACACCACCTTGAAGTTGCCGCCGCTATGGGTATTTCAGCAGAAGTTAAGAGGTGCTGAGCACACGGCACGGCAGTCCCTTGAATCACAGGGAGCTCCCCGTTGCTCATACGGTCCCTGGGGCTTTGTGGCGTGAACTCGCTGCTTGCTCCCTGCATCTAGATTCAGCGGACCAAACAAGCGAAGACAAGCAGGAATGCACGTGCTGGTGTAATCAGGACTTGAAGCACTCCCAACACAAACAGATTCGTTCAGACATACCATGACAGCAGGAAACCTCCTCAATGACAGTAGCAAAGCTCTTATGACGCGTAACGTTTAATAGCAGCTCCCTCGCGTTCCGGAACATGGCGGTGAGGTTTCGAGCCCGCCTGTGGCGCAGACGCGGCAGCGGCGAGACCGGAGACTCCTCCTCGGACGCTCTCGCGCCCGCCGGAGCCAGACTAATAGGCGGCGAAGCAGACACGAAGCTTCGCGACGAGAAGTCCGCGGCGCGGGTGCGATCCCTGCGCCTGTGGGGGCTGGTGCTGCTCGCGGGTCTCACCATCGGCGCGCTTTCATGGCTCCTCGCCACCGCCATCGTCGAATTCTTCGAGCTGCTCTACGCTCTTAACGACACGCTCTTAGGCGCTCACGACGCGGTGCGCGTTCCGTTCTCCCGCGTGCTCGTCGCGTCGCTCCTCATGGCGCTCATCCAAGCCGCGCTCGTCGGCCTGGCGGCCGTTCTAACGGTCAACGTCGCGCCGCTCGCCAACGGCTCGGGCGTCCCCGAGATAAAGGGATTCCTTAACGGAAACAGCATTCCGGGATTCTTCGAGCTGCGCACAACGGTCGTCAAGTTTCTGGGGCTCGTGCTCGTCGTCGCGGCGGGCATGCCCGTCGGCCGCGAGGGGCCCATGGCGCACATCGGCGCGGGGGTCGCCGTTGCGCTCGTGCACCTCCCGCTGCTCGGCCTGCACGCGCACGCGCACGGAAAGAATGGCGCAGGTAAGCAGCGCAGAGACACAAGCCGCGCTCGCGGCGGAAAACCCAGCGGGGGACGTCACGGCGGAGCGGCTGTGGCGTGGCAGGACCGCGACGAGCAGCGCGCGTTCGTGACGTACGGCGGCGCGGCGGGCGTGGCGGCGGCGTTCAAAGCGCCAATCGGCGGAGTACTGTTCATGTTCGAAGAAGTCTCCTCCTTCTGGTCCACCGAAGCCACTTTCAAATCGTTCGTCTCCGCCACCATAAGCACACTCGTTATAGTCCTCCTCGTCGAGGCCATGGCCGGCATAGTCACATACGAAGCCTTCCTTTTATTCGTCCTAAACCCAGTAACCATTTCCTGGACGGCCAAGGACGTGGGCCCGTTCCTCCTCCTGGGCGTGCTAGGAGGGCTGCTCAGTAGGCTCTACACTGTACTGTCACTCAAGGTGCTGAGAGCGAGACGGACGGAGACGTGGAGGCGGCGCAAGGCTGTGAAGATTATAGATGCTGCTGTGAGCGCGCTGGTGGTGTCGTTGCTGTTCCACCTCCTCCCGGCCATGTCGCCCTGCATCTCCCTTCCTCCTCCCAGCGCCTCCGCGCCTGCTGCTCCCCCTTCGTCTCACTCCACTGCTGCGGTCACTGCACACGTGTCGTTTTCCCCCACGAGGCATGCTGCTGAGTCAGCAACTGCATCTGCCGCACCGGTGAAGCCGAGAGCGTCGGCATCACTAGGAATGCTGGTCCCACGGATCAAAGCATCAAGCGCATCAGCAGCAGCAGCAAGCAGCACAGGCAGCACAGAGGGAGCAACAGCGCCACCAGCAGCACCAGAAGCACCAGCAGAAACAGCAGCACCAAAGACGCCAGCAGCAGCAGCAGGTGGCAGCATGGAGGCAGGGGGACACAGTGGAGCAACGGAGGGGCATGGGGAGGGAGGCGAGGGGCACGTGGTGTTGGTGCAGTACGACTGCCCTGCAGGCCATTACAACGAGCTCGCCACACTGCTGCTGCGCGGCGAGGAGGGCGCTGTGAAGCACCTCATGGGCGACACAGAAGACGCCGTCACCGCACGGGTGTTCCCAGCCGGCGTGGTGGGCGTGTTTCTCATCGCGTACTCCCTCCTAGCGGCGTCCATATCGGGCCTGGCGGTGCCGAGTGGCCAGTTCATCCCACAGCTGCTGTACGGGGCGGCGCTGGGGCGGCTGTTTGGCATGGGGTTGCATGCTGCGCTGCCGGAGCAGTTTGCACAGCCCAGCATCTATGCACACGTGGGGTCTGCTGCGTGCCTGGCGGGGTACACGCACCTCACCATCTCGCTCGCTGTGAGTGCTGCGGCCGGTTCTTGAGAATTGAGAAAACTTCTATGGGCACGTGGGGCCCGCTGCATGCCTGGTGGGGTACACGCACCTCACCATCTCTCTTGCTGTGAGTTCGGCAAGCGGTTTTCGAGAGACGTTGGAATACCATTGATGTGCATGCGGGGTCCGCTATGTGCCTGGGGGGTATATGCTCCGTACCATCACGCTTGCTGTGAGTGCTGCAGGCGTTTTTTGAATGCGTTTAGTACCATTGATGCGCATGCGGGGCCCGTTATGTGCCTGGGGGGTGTATGCTCTGTACCATCTAGCTTGCTGTGAGTGCTGTCTCGGAACTGCTCTGGCGTGGTTGCTGTGCTGCCATCTCTCCGCTCCATGACCCACATATGCGTGTGTGTGTGTGCGTGCGTGCATGTGGCGGTGTGCAGGTGATGCTGATGGAGGCATCAGGAGACATCAGCCTTCTGCTTCCCATCCTCTGTGGGTGCGTGCCGTGCACCCATCACTATCCATGCACCACAATGCACACTGTGGCACGTTGCATGGCGCATTCTCTTTCTCCACAGTCTCCTCCCCACCGTCCGTTCAGACCATCGCAGCATAGCAGCAGCCAAAGCAGTGCGCAGTTGTTAGAACAAGCCGCACCCACCACATCGCTTCTTTATTCCCTCATCTGTCTCTCCTCCCCATCTCTCCTCGTTTCATCTGCGCAGCATAGCGGTGGCCAAGGCAGTGGCACAACTTCGGGCCGCAGCTACAACGAGGAGCTGCTGGCGATAAAAACACATTCCTTTCCTGCCTCCCAACCCCATGTCCTCCCGTCCCCGCCACCCTGTTCTCCAGCATAGCTTTGGCCAAGGCAGTCGCACAGCTGCTCGGCAACAGCTACGATGAGGTGGTTCTGTCAATCAAAAGATCCCCTTCCTGCAGGACAAGCCTACAACTCACACCCCTCTCCTCTGCTCCTCTCCTCCTGCCGCCCCCTCTCTTCAGCATAGGAGTAGCCAAGGCAGTGGCGCAGCTCTTAGGCCGCAGCAAGAACGAGGTGGTACTGTCAATCAAGAAGATCCTCTTCCTGCCTCCCAACCCCATGTCCTCCCGTCCCGCCACCCTGTTCTCCAACATAGCAGTGGCCAAGGCAGTCGCACAGTTGCTGGGCCGCAGCTGCGACGAGGTGGTGCTGGCGATCAAGAAGGTCCCCTTCCTGCGTCCCAATCATGCAAGTCACATTCTTCTGTTCCTCCCACCACCCGCATACCATCACAGCATAGGAGTGGCCAAGGCAGTGGCACAGCTCTTCGGCCACAGCTACGACGAGGTGGTGCTGGCGATTAAGAAGATTCCTTTTCTGCAGGACAAGCCACACGCGCGCCACCAGGGCTTGCTGGCACGCCACCTCATGGACCGCCACGTGGCACAGCTGCGCGAGATGGAGACGCCGTCGCTCGTGCGGGCGGCATTGATGGGGTGCTTGTCGCCGGCGCTGATGGTGGTGGATGCGGAGGGCGGGCTGAAAGGGGTGGTTAGCCGCTCCAGGCTGCTTGCTCTGCTCGCTGCACATAACCAGGCCTGCGATGCTGCTGCCGCCGCCGCTGGTGCTGCTGGTGCAGCTGCTGGGGTTGCTGCTGCTGGTGGTGGCGGCAGTGGTGATGCTGCTGGGGGTGAGAGTCATGGTTCGCCGTGTGGGGTTGCTGCTGCTGTAAGCCCTGCAGTTGGTGCGGGTGCTGCTGATGCTGCTGGGGCTACCGGTGCTGCTGGGGCTGCGGGTGCTGTGGGTGGTGGTGGGGGTAAACTGACACGACTGGGAGAGCTGGCGGGGTTGCGGATGAGTGCGGTAATGAAGTGGGCACCGTGGACACAGAGAGCGAGAGTAGGGATGGAGGTGGGAGGCGATGCGATAATGGAGGAAGGGAGGAGGGCGGGCGGTTTGGAGGAGGCGAAGGTAGAAAGGGATGAAGACGAAGAAGACGAAGCAGGGGAGAGGGAAGAGGTGGAGGAAGAGGAGGAAGGGGAGGGTCACGAGTGGGAGACAGAGGCGCAGCGGCGTGTGCGGAGAGAGAGACGAAGAGGCCACCGGTACACGGAGGAACTTGCACAGAAGCTTCTGATGTGCCACGACGACAGCGAGACGGGAGAGGAGAGGCGGATGAGGGAGATGGTGCGGAGGGAGGGCGAGGAGCGCCTGCTTGACCGCACCTTGCTGGCCATGGAGACCAATGCCAGGCTGGCGGACCAGCAGTGGGCGGCGGAAGACGCTCTCTGGGCGGCTGTGCCGTCCGTGCACAGCGCTCCTGCTGTCGCTGCCACTGCTGGGGCTGCTGGGGTTGCTGGCGGTGCTGCTGATGGGAGTGCTGCTGCTGGCTCGGCTGCTGGATCTGTGCAACGAGGCGGAGTGGGGAGGGTGGAGCATGTGTTTAGTTCTGATGTGTATCGTGGGCACGGGCATGCCATGGGGCATCTGCATGGGCATGACCACGGGCATGGGTACGGGCATGAGCATAACTATGGGCATGGGTACGGGCGGAATGGGCATGGGCATGGGCGGGCAGGAGGCCCCATAGGCAGTGCTGATGGCAGCAGCTGGCAGGTCGGTAGCACAGGCAGCCACAGCCCTCTTCCCCCTCGCCTTCGCCCTCCTGCTCTTGCCGCCACACCTCCTCCTCCATCTGCTCCTTCTGCTGCCCCAGACGCTACCTTTGCTGCTGCTGCTGCTGCTGCTGCCCCAGGTGCTGCCTTTGCTGCTGCTGCCTCAGATGCAGCTGATGACGCTTGTGACACAGCAACGCATGGAGTAACGCCCTTCCAGCAGCAGCAGCTTGCGGAGGGAGGGGAAAAGGATAGTGAGGTCGAAGGCAGGGGCGGAGAGACAGGAGAGGTAGGAGAAAGGGCAGAAGGGGAGACGAGGAAAGATGTGGCTGGGGAGAGCAGCAGTGAGGCGGGGAGGGTGGGGTTGGGAAGGGGGGAGACGGAGAGCAGCAGGTGGGTGGCGGGAGCAGTGGTGGGAGGGGGGAAGGCGGAGGTGCTGTTGGAGCTGACAGAGATCATGGACCCCTTCCCCTTCCAAGTGCCCCTCTGCACGCCCATCCTCCGCGTCTTCCCCCTCATGCGCAAGGTCAGCTGCATTGGCCTCAAGTGACCCATGATGTGACCACAGGTGCCACCAAGTGACCCACATGTGCAGTGCCTTTTCTCTGCTGAGAGCGCTGCCATGCCGTGCCATATGAGTTGAGTGAGGCCCCTATTCAAGATGGCACGAGAGGACCATGACTGCCCCTGATATCCCATTGCGCCGTCCTATGCCTCTTCCACCCCCCTTGCTCTCTCCCCACCCCTGCCCCAGCTCAACCTGACGTACGTGTGTGTGGTCGACAGCACAGGCCAGCCGGTGAGACTCTATGCACCATGCCATGCACCATGGCATGCACCATGCTATGCACCATGCCATGCCATGCCATCCCATGCCATGCCATGCCATCCCATGCCATGCCATGCCATGCCATCCCATGCCATGCCATGCCATGCCATGCCATGTCATGCCATGCCATGCCATGCCATGCCAACCCATTCCATTCCATGCCATGCCATGTCATGCCACGCCATGCCATGCCATGCTGTGCCATGTACCATGCACTGTCATGCAGTGCCATGCCATGCTATACACCATGTCGCGCCATACCAAGCCATATGACATGCCATGCTACGCCATCAGCTATGCACAGTTATGCCACTAGCCATGCCATGCCATGCCATGCCATGCCATGCCATGCCATGGCCAGACACCACTAATTCTGTCACCAAGCGACAGCCTTCACCCCCCTCTCCTGCCTCACCACTAGTGCACGCCAGCATCACCACATTCACACTCTTCTATGCTGTTCCATGCCATGCCACTCCATGTCATCCGATGCCATCATAACAACATCCTCACATACCTCTCTCCGCGCCCCCCCTTCCATCCATGCAGGCAGGGCTGATAACGCGAGCGCACCTGATAGACGCCAAGCCAGTGCACGCCAGCGTCACCACGTGGGGCCACTTCGGCCTGCCCTCCTTCCGCCTCTCCCGCCGCTTCTCCTCCTTCTCCTCCCGCCCCTCCGTCGCCTCGCTCACACCAGAAGCCACCCAAGCCGCCCGGGACCGCGCCGCCCGCATCCTGGCAGCTCTGGACCCGGACGCCCTGGCAATGGGGGACACGGTGCAGCAGCAGGCAGAGGCGACTGAGAGGGTGAATCTTGCGTCTATGCTGGCTGCTATGGACTCTGTGAGGCACTTGTACCGGCAACCAGGCTCGGAGCATGATCTGGGGAGGATGGAGGGGCGTGGGGAGGGGACGGATGGGCAGGAGGGGCGTGGTGTGGAGGGGGAGGAGGGAGTGAGGGGGAGTGAGCGGGGGGGAGGGGAGAGGCGAGGGGCGAGGGAGGGGCAGAGGAGGTGGGCAGGGGGGGTGTCCCCGAGGGAGAGGTGGAGGAAGGCGGTGAGGCTGGTGGTGGAGAGCCTGCGAGCCCAGGCTGCAGCGGCTGCCCTCGCTGCTGCTGCCCGCTCCCAACGGAACCTTTCCCTGATGCCTGCTGCTTCTGCTGGGGTTGGTGGTGGTGCGGGTGCTACTGCTGAGGGTGCCGCAGGCAGGGAGGTTTCCGCTGCTGGTGGGGCGAGGGGTAAGCAGGACCCTGGTGTTGCGAGCAGATGGAGGGATGGTGGTGGTGGTGCAGGAGCGAGGGAGGTGTTTGGAGGAGGGGGGTCAGGGCGGCAAGGAGGGAAGGACGTGAAGAGGGAAGGGATGGGGGGGCAGGAGAAGGCAGGTGAAGAGAGAGGAGGGCCGCCGGTGAGGCATGTTCACTGGGGAGAGAAAGAGGGCATGGGAGGGAGACTGGTTCCAAGCTTGGTTGATGATGGTGGTGCGGTTAGAGAGGATGGTGCTGCAGAGGGTGACGACGTGCTGGTGGTGAGGGAGGATGCAGGCGAGGGAGAGGAGGAGCGGGAGAGGGAGTGAGTGAGGGCAGTGTGGGAGGCAGATGGCGGAGGGAAGAGGCATTTGGAAGTGGGTGGTGGAGAGCATATGTGGAATGAGAGCAGATGTGGAATGAGAGCAGATGTGGAAGCAGAGCAAACCAAGGAATGAGAGTCAGTAAGGCAGGAACGGCCACAGCTCAGATGCAGATACCGTGTCTAGCAGGGTGTGAAACCAGTTCGGCTGTATGCAGAAACGTTGCAGAATCATATTTGTTCTGTTTATTCCTTTATTCAATGCGTAAATAATGCAGTGTGATGTGATACCCTGTGAGCAGTTGCTAAGCAGTGTTGCAGCATGGTTCTGCTCTGCAGTGCCTGAGGAACGTGCAGCAATGATGATCTAATTGCTGCTGCTTGAGTAAAGCAGTGCCTGCCTGCTCCTGCAAGGATGGGCCTGTGCGCGTAGGCTTGTGCGCGTGGGGCATGTTGGGCTGAGATAGCCCTTAGGATCTTTTGCAGGGGTAAATTCGGGGTAGGATAATTGTAATAGCGGAAGCGTTTAATGAAGAACTTATTAACCACCTTGCGCTGGTATGTGAGGGCAAAGTAAGTTGATTAAAGCAAAGAGATACAAGCATTTATATATGAGTACAAGGAATATGAAAGGATGCAGTTGTAACTACTTTACTGTTGCTGTTGCGGTTCGATACAGTGACGACTCGGGCAACTGCTCTGTAGCGAGTCAGTTGTGTGTCCTTGCTGTCGCGCTGTACTTGTCAGGTCAAAGGTCGCTGACCTTTGACTTTCGCGTAACCTCCAGCAACCTCTTTCAACCTCCGAGGGTTGACTCGCGTGTGCCTCGATATGGTTCGCCTCGCTTCTGGTGTGATGTTTCGACACGACAGAGGCGCTTTAGGATTTACTGTTTCCAACACTCCCCTTCGCTTCTGGAGTGTCGCTGCTGATGACGTGGCCTTGTCCAGTCAGCAGCATGCAGTACTCGAACTTCTGCTTTCCGAGCTTCTTGGTCAAGTAGTCAGCTGCCATCTCGGACGTGGGACAGTAGGATAGTTCAAGTCTCCCCTTCTCGATCTCGTCTTTCACGAAGAAATATCGCAGGGCGATATGTTTCGTTCTGTTCGCGAAGCCACTTTTGTTGGCGATGCGAATTGCAGATTGGTTGTCGCAGAACAGAGTGAAATTAGGTAACTCGGCCAACTTCGCTTCTTCCAGCAGCTCGCGAAGGTAAAGTCCTTCCTTGGTGGCTGAGCAGAGTGCGATATATTCTGCTTCAGCTGATGAGAGGGCGATTAGTTCTTGCTTACTCGACTGCCAGGAGATAGGACCGATAGGCTCGAGGCGGTAGATGTAGCCGGTGCGGGAGCGCCTATTGTCGGAATCGCCGGCGTGATCGGCATCGACATAGCCGATTAGCTTAGTCGGTGTAGTTGCGTTCTTGTGGTAGGTTAGGCCGATCGTTGAGGTGCTGACGAAGTAGTGGAGAGCGCGGTCGAGCTCCGCTAGGTGCTCTGCTTCGGGTCTTTTGAGGTAGGTGGCGAGTTGGCTTGCGGAGTAGGATAGGTCTGGGCGACAGGTGACGGCTGCGAAGAGAAGACATCCCAGCTTTCTCTGGTAGTCGCGAATGCCAGCGGGCTTGAGTGGAGCGGATTCTCCCTTGTTGTTCCCTGTCGTGTAGCGATATGGTGTGGAGATGGCGGTTGGTGTAAGAGCGAAACGCTTGGCGATGGTGTCGGCGTATTTTGCGGCGCTGAGGTAGATCGCGTTGTCCTCTTCTCGGATGTTAAGCCCGAGGTACTGTGTGACAGTAGAAGAAACCGTGAGCGTGAGATCTTGCTGCAGCTCCCCTTCGAACCAGGTGGTGATGCCGTCGGACGAGCCGATGTAGAGGAGGTCGTCTACATAGACGATTAGCAGGACGTAGTCGTCGTTCTTCGTGAGCCGGTACATCCCTTGATCGTGGGGTAGTTGTTTGAAGCCAATGCGGATGAGACGGGCGTGTAGGTACTGCTGCCATAGCCGCGGGGCTTGCTTAATCCCGTAGAGCGATTTCAGTAGTTGACAAACCTTGTTCGGCTCTCCGTTAGTGCCATGTGGGAGTTCGACGAAAATTTCCGCGTCGACAGGTGCGTAGAGAAACGCGTTGGCGACATCGATCTGTCGTAGCTTCTTCTTCTTCATGGCGGCGATCGCGAGAAGAATTCGAAGTGAGGTGTGTCGGCTGACCGGGGCGAATGTCTCGGTGAAGTCCCGTCCGTGCTCCTGATCGAATCCACGTACAACCCAGCGTGCTTTGAACTTCTCAATTGTGCCGTCTGCTTTCGTTTTGACGCGGAAAATCCATTTCCCGGTGAGAATGGTCTTGTTTCTTGCCACGCTGATGGGAACGACTTTCCAGGTGTTCCGTTCCTCCAGCGCTTTTAACTCTCTGTCCATGGCTTCACGCCATTTCTCCCTGTGTTCCCCCCCCAGAGCCTGCTGAACCGTGGCAGGCTCCTTAGGAATAGTTGAGCCGTGGACTGCGGTGACGAGGCCGAGAATTTGCAGTCCACTCTGTGAGTAGCGGGGGAGTGTGGTGTCCTCGGGATAGACTGCTTCGTCTCCCGTTTCTGATGTTGGGTTGAAATTCGGTCCTACTCGTTCTGCTTCGTCGGTGTTGACCCGTGCAGGTGTAACGTAACCATTGTCGGCGAATTCGTAGAAGACTTCGGCGTTGACGCTTTCGCGAGGATTTTCGTCGTCCATTGGGATGTCCACGGAGCAGTAAGGGAGAGGTCCGGCTGCTTCCGAGGCTCCCTCCACGTTCTGCTCGTCCCAGTCAGCTTCGTCTTCTGCCGAGGCGAAGGCTCGGTGCCCATGAAATCCGCCCGAGAGGTCAGGTCTGTTTTCTTCGATGTACATGAGGTGAGTTCCGAGGGTGAGGTTTTCGTAGAAAACGACATCACGTGCTGCTACTGTTTCCTTGCTGTTGATGTCGAAGATTTTCCACGCGTTGTAGTGTTTTTCGATGCCCAGGTGTAGTCCCCACTGTGCGCGTTGAGAGAATCGCCCAGCTCGTGCAGATGGAGGTCGGTACTGTACCATGCAGCCGAAGACTCTCAACATTTTTGTGCTGCCCAGTTTTCCTGTCCACAGCAGATGCGGTGATGCGTTGTTCGGGAGCGATGATGACGAAAGCAAGTTGTGCAGCATGACGGCGTGGTCCATTGCTTCGGGCCACTGGTGGTTGGGCAGGTGCATGCCACGTAGCAGCTTGCGCATGGTGGCTTGCAGCGTCCTGTTCATCCTTTCTGCTACGCCTTGTTGTTGGTGAGCGTAGGGAAGGGAGATGAGCCTCTTGATTCCTCTTTCTGCCAAGTACTGCTTGAACCTCTGTGAGGTGTATTCTCCTCCCCCGTCTGACTGAAAGCTTTTTAGCTTAGCTCCCGATTCTCGTTCTGCGACTGGAAGCCAGGCGACAAAGGCTTCGAAGGCCATGTCGCGACTTGGAAGGTTTAGGTGCCAGACATATCGAGTTGCGGCGTCGATGAAGGTGATGGTGTAGCTGTAGGCGTTTTGTCCGGGTTCACGGTTGTATAAGATGTCGCTGTACACCTTTTCGAGAGGTGTGTACGCAGGTGCGCTTGGATTGTGATGTGAGACGAACGGCTGATGCGGTAAGTCGGCTTCAGGGCAGGTGAAGCACGTTCCACGTGCTCGTTGAAGTTCTCTGCCGTCGGTCAGTAGAAGTGAGTCTTTGTCGAGCACTCCTGCTCTTATCGTGTTGTTTAACACTGTGTTGCTTGGATGTCCCATTCTTGCGTGCCAGGTACCTTCAGTGGCGCGATGTCCGGGTGACCGTCGATACAGATCCGAGTTGGAGTAGAAGCCGGCAGTGACGTTGGTGCTTCGGTGGACTTCTCGTGGTGCCGGTTTTAACTGTTGTGCGGGTGTCGGTGGCGAATCGTCGATGGAGATTAGTGTCGTTGAAGGGCCAGCTATTGGTGTTGATGTTGCCGCTGCTATTGTCATTGTCTCTGCTGCTCCTGATGTTGTTTCTGCTGCTGCCGATGTTGTTGCTGCTGCTGCCGATGTTGTTGCTGCTGCTGCCGATGTTGCTTGAATTGTCGCTAACGCTCTTGTTCGTTCTGTTTCAGGGATCGTGTGAGAGTGCCAGAAGCCGCCGGGGCTGAAGTCTGGGTCAAGATCTGGAGGATGTGTCCAAGGAGCAAAGCTGACGATGCCGTCGCTGTCAGCGGTGCCGAGGTCTGGTACGAAATCAAGAACGAAGACGTTGTTCTTGAGGATCGCCTTTCCGATGTAGAGGCCGCCCTTTCCGTGGTACAGCTTGAACTCCTGGGTGGTGCTGTCTGCTTCGAGGTGAATGCCTTTCGCCATCAACTGACTGACACTCAGTAAGTTGTAACCGAGACCCTCTGCGATTAAGACCTTGGTCATTTGTAGAATCACACTTGTTTCTCGTGACTGAAGTTGTACCACTCCTTGTCGTCGTGTGCGCAGGTTCTGGTTGTTGGCGACGGTGATGACTACTTCACGTTGAAGTTGATACTCTCGTTGTACGAAGCGTCCTGAAGAGCACATGTGCTGTCCGCAGCAACTGTCCAAGAACCATGTGTCCTTCCCGGATGGTTCACTCTGGGCGATGGCGGCGTATGTCGGGTTTGGCTGCAGTGACTCGCGGCGGGGTGTGCTGTTGTCGAGCTGTTCTTCCGGTGAGTAGTGTGGTGGTGATTCAGTGACGCAGGAGTCGGTCAGTTTTGCCATACAACTGACGATGTTCCTTGTTCCTTGCGCAGGTTGTCCCGCAGGTGGTGTTGAGGCTTGAATCTGGGTCGTGGAGTTCGCTTGTGTTGAGGCGACTTGGCTGCTTGAGGGTCGAAGCTGTCGCTGTGGTGGCGTTGGCTGTTCTCGGTTTGGGCAGTGCGTGCGTGGGTGCCCAGAAGTTTTACAGAGCCTTTGTTGCGCGCCATTGAGGACCGAGGCCGCCGATGATGACTGTCACGAAGGCGTCTTCAGAGATTG